ACAGAAAGAGAGGGACAAAGGGTGGACAAATACAGCAGTAATACTCACTAGACACTATGTTGAAAATGAACTATCCAACTTGTGGGTATGGACAGGAGGGAAAAACTGGGAGAGAATGAGAGAAGGGCTGATATTGTTCAAAATGAAATGTTCGCTTCAGCTCACATAACTGTAACCCCTCCTCCGTACATCACCTTTATAATAACAATAAAAAGAAAGTGAAATACTAAAACTAAATAAACATCATTCACAAAAGAAAGAAAAAGGAATGGTCAAGCTCAGCACTGGCCTATCATGTTAGCTACTCAGGAGGCTGAGATCTAAACGATCTCAGTTCAAAGCCTGTCTGAGCACACATATCTAGTCTTGTCTTCAATTAACTAGCAAAAACCCAAAAGTAGAAATGGATGCAAGTGGTAGAGTGCCAGCACTGAACTAAAAAGTGTGCTCAAGACCCACTAACGGCACTAGAAACAAACCAATAAATAAATATTCACAAAGATAGGCTTATTTAACCTGACTTAACCTCTCCATCACAAGATGGACCTGGCCATGCACATGGCACCCCATTCCTCTGTTCCACCTTCATGTTTTTACCTCTCCATCAGAAAGGAAATATAATTCAAATCTCTCTTAAATGCAAAGCAAAAAACTCAGCTTCTCTGCAATCTCCCACCGAGCACATGATTATTAATAAGTCAATTTGTATTCTGCTTCAGAGAATTGAGAAAAAACGCTCTACCAGATTGGCCTTCTTCCAAATGCAAGTGGAAATACATCTCCTGTAATTATTCCTGTTGGTTAAGTTCTGCACTGGTTTGTTTATTTTTTCGAGTTAGAGACAGAGTCAATGGAAAGGTTAAAATACTGCCATCTTCTCAAGCAAAACAGCTAGCCGATTGATTATGTCTGGCTAACTGAGAAGCCTGCGTGCCTTTGCCAGCCGGGCTAGAGGCTCAACAGAGAACCACTAACTTGACACATTTCAGAAATGAGTTTCTGTAATATGCCTGCTAACCTATGCACCCTCTCAGGCTTCACATGCTGACAGTGGAAAAGAGGCCCTGAGAAAGAGCCCCTTTTTTTCCTGAAATGAGAAGCTGTGTCTGGTACTAAATTATAGCATAAAAGACAGACAGGACAGAGAGAGAGAGAGAGACTATTATTACCTGTCGCATTACCCGTTGCATGAGTTGGGACAGATGTTTCATGAGCAGAGCATTTTTGGAAGGTGGTTGGGAGTATGAGAGATTTTAGACACGCCTCCCAGCTACCTGTAACACGCCCAGTTCCCAAAGCCAGCAGCTTTTATGCCCACAGCCTGTCCTGCGATCACTGAAGACAACAGATGGCAGATCTCTGCCATCACTGATGAAGCTTGCAAGAAGAGTCAAGACCAAACAATTTCCTGGGCAAGGCGTGCTTCCAATGAGACTTACTATATGGTATGTATGATCTATGAGTGTCTGCGGGACGGAGTGACTAGCCGTGGTCATCCGGGATGCTTACTGGTGAAGGAAGGCCTCCTATGGCCATGATGCTTTCAGGAACAAGTGAGAGGCAGAAAGGGGGGAACCGCTGCCAGAGGGCTGTGGGACAGCACCTGGAGCCTCCATCACCCGGGGCTGTCATAACACAACTCCACAGACGGATGGTTTCATATCAGGTGTTGACTCCTCACAGATCTAGAGGCTAGAGGCCAAGGTCAAAGCGGCAACATGGTGGAGCTGCAGCGAGGGCTGCTCCCCAGTGTGTGGAGTGTGCTCTTCCTCTACTCATTTGAAGGACAGGAGGTGGGCGCCAGTGACTCACGCCTGTAATCCCAGCTACTCTCAAGATCTGAGGACTGAAGTCCAAAGACAGGCCAGACAGGAAAACCTGTGAGACTCTAATTAACCATCTCCTTCCCCTGGGGGGGGGGGGGGGAGGGGGGAGGGAGGGGGACTAGAAGTAGAGCTGTGGCTCAAGTAGTAGAGCACCAGCTGTGAGCTAAGAGACCAGTCACCAGTTCCCAAGTTCGAGTACTCGTACTAGCATAAAGCAAAATTGTATGAAGATACAAGACTCAAGGTAAAATTATTAAGCTCATGTTGTGGTATTAAGAGCCGGGTGCCGGTGGTTCACACCTGTAATCCTAGCTATTCAGGAGGCTGAGATCTGAGGATCACGGTTCAAAACCAGCCCGGGCAGGAAAGTCCTGAGACTCTTATCTCCAACAAAAACTACTCGAAAACCACCGTGGCTCAAGAGGTAGAGCACTCGCCTTGAGCTGAAGAGCACAGGGACAGCACCCAAGCCCAGAGTTCAAGCCCCATGACCAACCAAAAAAAAAAAAAAGAATACACAGTAATAAATATGGGATCTATATGTTTAATGGAACCTGCACTTTTAACGGAACCAAGCAAGCCTGTCTCTTTGGGAACTGTGAGATATGACTTTATCAGGTGTCCTGTCACCTCTCCTCATGCTGGACCCTGTCAGAGGCAATGAAAGCGAGAGAGACATCCACAAGACAATGCGATTCTACAGGGACACGTGCCGTAAGAGATCCTTGTAAGCTGGCTCCAGGAACTTGATCTGCACTCGAAAACAGGGCTTTGATTGTGTTCATGGAACACAGGAGCCTTTGTAGAGACCTCAAAGAATCTTACCTTCAAAGGAACACCAACAGTGCATGTGCTGAGCTCGCTCCTCACCTCCTCGCCCGTTTCTCCTACAACAGACATGCTTCCACGCTAAACAAGACAACCCTTCAGTAAACACAAACTTCCCTTGGGTCTCCAGATGCAGACACACAGGACAGGAGACAACCCCAGCCAGACCACTGTCCAAAATCAAACAGCATCTCTCGGCACAATTATGTTTAATCTCTTCAAAACAGATCCTTCCCAATAGCTAATTCTGCAGAGTTACTTCAAAGGAAGAACAGAAGAAGTTTCAAGGTAGGGTGAAGATGCAGGGGAAGGAGGGTCGCCATGCTGGGAGGATGTTCGGAGGGACGGTAACCCCCCAGGAGGAGCTCTGCTGCGCTCGGTCCTTGCTGCCACATCGAGGAAAGTAAAGCTACGCTGCCAGCCCCTCTTGCTCTTGGCACAGGTTGTATTTTCCTGCTGGAGGCTCTCGGGTGAAATAAGTCACCAATGCCATCACAGCACATACTGAACCATTAAAAATCACTACAATCATTTAAAATAGAAAACACAAGTTTTAACTTCTAGAAAGTGAATAGAAATAACTAATGACTTGATTTCATGGGAGGAGACAAAGGGATATACTGTACAACATATAAAATATAACAGAAGAGACAGGAAGCAACGGCTCACACGCCTGTCATCCTCGCTACTCGGGAGGCTGAGATCTGAGGATCATGGGTCAGAGCCAGCCTGTGCAGAAAAGTCCACGAGACTATTAAGTCCAGCATAAGGCTGGACTGGAGGTATGGCTGAGGTGATAGAGCACCAGCTGTGAATAAAAAAAAAAGCCAAGCACATATGCGAGGCCCTAATTCAAACACTGGTACCAGTACAAAAGCCCTGAATACACTAAGGGCTAGAAATGTCATGCAAGAGACTAGCAAAGATGAATCCTTGAATCCAAACCCCAATGCTGAGAGAAAAAAACACCATGTAGGAATGGTAGCTTCTGCTTGTAATTCCAGCCATCCTAGGCAGAGAGGATGGTATTTTAAGGACAGCGTGGGCATAAAGTTAAAAAGACCCCCATCTCAACCAATAACAGTTGGGTGAGGGGGCACACGCCTGTCAGCCCAGCAGGCCAAATTAGACATACATACATGATCATATCCCCAAATTAACTTAGTTAAAAAAAGAGCTGAGGGGTGTGGCACAAGTGGCAGAGCACCTGCCTAGGAAGTGTGATTCAAACTCCAATACCAAACACACACACACACACACGCACACACACACAACACACACACACACACACACACACACACAGTAAAACTTTGACTAGGTCTAACTTTTACTATTAAGATTTTTTTCCCACTATGTAGTGCTTCAGTAAAATTTAATAGCTAATGATCATCTAGTATATAAAGAAGCTAAAGACCACAAAGGACTCAAATACCAGTAAATGTTACCCCCCTTTCATGGTACCCCCAATCAACTGTTTTTCCTAACACAAGGAAACAACTGTGGCACTGTAAGGAACACTAAGGACGGAGCTGGGCAGAATAAGACGCCCAGAGAGGAAGGAGTGGCCCTGGAGTTAGGACGCCAAGCTCCCCAGGATGAAGGGATGGTAGGCAAACATGACAGCGGACGGAACAGGATCATGCCAGCGAGCATCAGAAAAGGACAGATAGATACAATAAATATTCCAGGCCTTGCCATGTATTGTGGTCAGAATTGGAGAGAAATAAGCAATATTAAGAACGTGCCCATGTTCTTCGTAAGAGCCCCATTTGCTCAGTTTCTTGCTCATTCCTTCCACCAACAGTGCTCAGTCCTAGACACAGGACCTAACGCTGATTAATAAACTGGCTTTCAGCATACCACCCCCTAGGGGGCATTTACAGTACTTCAATTCTCTTCCCAAGGTACAGCTGAGGCAAAGCTGTTGAAGATTACTTTAAAAAAAAGTGGGGAGGGGAGTAGTCCCCTTTCTAGGTCCCAAGGCAGAGTGGGGGGGCGGGGGTCAGGCCTTCCCATCATGGTCCCTCCATGGGCTCCTCAAAGTCAGACCACAAGGTGAACAAATACACATGGCCAGCTGTTCTCTCCCACGGCCTATTTGGAATCTCAAGGCCAGCTCTCTGCCCAAGGGATGGACAAAGGACATGACCTTCCTCTTTATATTCTCACAGTTTTCAACAATGCAAAAGGCAACCACCCCAGCACACAGCAAATACACACCCTGACATGCAGCAAAAGTGTAAACACATCTTTTGAAAAGCTACTTTATCTAAAGCAGGAGTTTCCTAAAAGAACTGACAGACAGGGGCAAAGGGATGGGGGACAATTCGGTTACTATGTATTTTACTATTTCCTTATAGGGAACCTAGGAATGAATTTTGTTTCTTCTGTCTCATTTTGTTTTTGTTTGATTTGGACAAAAGTGCTTTGAGTAGACATGAGCTCTAAAAGGGGGAAAAGAAGGGGAGGACAAAGGGGAAGAAGAGAAAGAGTTGCTCTTTAGAGAAAGGGTAGCTCACTTCTAGCTACCTAGAAGGCTGAGATCCGATTATCTGAGGCTAGCGAAAGCCAGGTCAAGCAGACAAATTTGAGAAATCCTTATCTCCATTTAACCAGAAAACAAAGCCAGAAGCAGCCAGATACCAGTGGATCACGCCTATAGTCCTAGCTTCTTGGGAATCTAAGATTTGAAGATAACGGTTCAAAGCCAGCCTGGGCAGAAAAGTACCTGTGAGACTCTTGTCTCCAATTTACCACTCAAAAACCAAAAGTAGAGCTGTGGCTCCAAGTGGAAGAGCACTAGTCTTGAGCAAAAGAGCTCAGGGATAGCGCCCAGCCCTGAGTTCAAGCCCCACAACCAAGAATAAAGAGAAAGAAAGAAGGGAGGGAGGGAGGGAGGGAGGGAGGGAGGAAGGAAAGGAGGGAGGGAGGGAGGGAGGGAGGGAGGGAGGGAGGGGAGATGTGGCTTAAGTGGTAGAGTCAAGTAAGAATGTGAAACCATGACTTCAAGCCCCAGAGTGATTGATTAAAAAGGCCGATGGAGAAAGGTTAGTCTGAAATTTGTAAGGGAGTTTGACCAAATGGAGATTATAAAAACAAAAGAGAAAGAAATTCTGGGATTATATAAGAGAGTGAAGGAAGAATTGATATGAGAGGAAGACAGAGCCTTTGGAGATGCTTCTAGCACAGGGAGAGTGCTCTGGCTCCAAAGGATGGTCAAGGGAGGGACAGAAGGGGACAGCAATGAGACAAAAGACTCTGCAGAAGATGCGTCCAGGAAAGAGGAAGTGGGGTGGGTGGGCAACCCTCCAGAATGCCTCAGGGAGCAGGAGGGAGGCTGTGACCACGAACAGTCTATTGCATGTGGAGGAGAAGAACAGAGATGCATTTGAGAAGCAGGTTCAGTGTAGAGGGAGAGGAAGGTCAGAAGAGGAATCAAGAAGTGAGGCTAGCACGCATGGTCACATGGCCTGCTCGGGAAGGGAGAGAGATGCAGAACACAAGACAGAGCACCGCTAGCACAGGACCCTGCTTCATTTGCTCACTGCTGTCTCCCCAGTACCTACGCCACTTTCTGTCATTTCACAGATACTCAATAAATATTTGTCCATTGGTGGTTGTTGACTCAGTGGAGAGATGCGTGAATTACCACAGCATCTGAGGGAGTATGAAAGAATCAGCTGGCTCTTGCATATGTGTAGCTCATGCCTGAACACTGAAGTTGCTACTGTTTTCAGGAGAGGCTGCAAGTGAGCACAGTCATAGTCTAAAGGCTGAAGTTAGTCTTTCAGGCAGTCATATGAGAAAAAGAAAATCTTCCTGGTCAGACACTGGAACTGGAGTGTTTCTGAATAGAAATCCCTCTCTGTCTGCACCAGGAAAATCACAGGAGATGGAAGCAGCTGCCTCTAGAGGGCTGGGAGTGGAGAAGGGACAGTGTACAGAAGGGTAGGTACGGAGCAAGGAGTTAAGAGATCCAGGCAAATGCCTGCAGAGTTGTGTTAGTCACCACACCACAACTAACAAATACTGAAAATAAGCAATTCATGCAAAGAGATATTAGCCTAGGTGTAGGGGCACTGGCTTGTAATCCCAGCCACTCAGGCGGTAGACTTGGGAGAATTGTGAGTTCTAAGCCAGCCTAAGCAGACACAGCAGGAAGACACGATGCAAGGCCCAGGGTTTGATCCCCACCAGAAAGTAGGTGGATGAATGGACAGATAGATCACAGATTTGATAGATGATACATGAAATAGCTGACAGATGGACAGAGATAGACACAGACAGACAGATGTGCTATATTGATTCCACCAATGACTGCATGATAGTTGGCTCTGTGGCTCTGTCTGTGAACAACTGACCCTAAACAATCCTGCAGTTTCCAGGTTGTGTTTTAATTAGGTAGCATGGTTCTCCTTTCCAGGGAATGTAGGAAAGAACTTTTTCCTGCTGTTTATCACTCTTCTGTTGTTTGATTTTTGGAAGACAGACAGACACTAAGGAGAAGGTGAGTTCTAAAAGGGCAGAATGGCCCAGAACAAGAAAAAAGAAGTACAGTTGTAAAGAACATGCCCACTGGCACTAAGCAGAGCCTTGAGATTCAAAGAGTAGGTGAGGTTAGTTTTTGCAAAATTGTAGAAAGAAAGATGGAGTGAATAAAGACAAAGAAGGCAAACACTTCAGTGGCACTCACTCTGGGATTCAGGGGACAGAGGTGGTTAGATGAGACACGGAAGGCTCACACAACTGCTACGGGGTGGCCACCAGGGCCCAGTGTGTGAAGGAGCTTCTGCAAACCTTGAAGGGCTAAATCCTGACATTTCCAGACAGATAATACTGTAGGAACACTTGGCAACACAGAAAGGCTCTGTGCAACTGGCGGACATGCATTTCCTACAATGTCAACCCACCCTAGAGGATCCACTGCCCCCAGTCATGGGAACAAGATAGACACACACCTCATGGAGGACCCATTTCACAATTTAAAACAACCCTGAAGGTAGTCTCTAGTCACAAGAGCCACAATTAACCCACTTGAATTTTTTTTTCCTCATATGCATCCATGGTATACAATTTGGGCGGGGGGGATCAGTTGTGGGGGCTGAACTCTGGGCCTGAGCACTGTCCTTCAGCTCTTCAGTTCAAGGCTAGTGCCCTACCACTTGAGCCACAGCACCACTTTTGGCTTTTTTCTGCTTATGTGGTACTGAGGAATCAAACCAGGGCCTTATGCATGCAAGGCAAGCACTCTACCACTGAGCCAACTTCCCAGGCCCTGGTATACAATTTTATAAGATCTGTAAGAAGCCTCCAGATGGAAGAAATTTTGGGACTCAGCTAGTCCAGCCTCTCACTTGTTAGGACTTAGTTGGTAGAAATCCATGGCAGACACTATCCATGGACATTGGACATCCTTGATTGCTCTTCTCGTGTCTCCGTCTCCTTTGCGGTACACCTAAATCCATGTATCTGAACTCTATTCAATGCAATATTGTTGGAACTAACAGAATTCACTCCAGGTCTGTCTCCCTCTTAAAACAGAGGATTCTCAACCAGCAAAACAAAAGTAAGGCAGCCAACGCACTGATGGCTAAAGCCTTTAATCCTAGCAACTCAGGAGGCTGAGACCTGAGGACTACAGCTAATGTGGGCAGAAAAGTCTGGGAGACACTTAACGTCCAATTAACCACCAAAAGGCCACACGTGGAGGTGTGGCTTAAGTGGTAGAGCACCAGCTCTAAGGGAAAAATCCGAATGAGAGCTCAAGGGCCTGTGTTCAATCCCCAGTACTGCATGCCTCCCCCACCCCACCTGCCACACACACACACAAAACAAGATATAGAGCCCAGGTCCTGAGAATATCAGGGAGGTTCTTAAGCCAGAGGATGATAATGAACACGTATCAGGCCCTCACACAATGCTTGCAAGTTCCAAAAACAAAACGTGTAAGGAGTCCCTGGTTGAAAGTCAAGATAATTACACTTTTAAACACAAATACTTGCCATTTCAAAAGCTCCTTTATGGAAACTGCCGTAGGGCCTGGATGGCTCGCTGTGGCGCTCAGAAGCCCTGTCTGTTGAGCTCTATTTGGCTCATTCCCCAATCAACTTGGGTGCAAAGCATGGAGAATAAGGACAATCAAGATTCAGATGTCCTATGCAGTAGGAGGCGCCTGAGTGCTCACGCAGTCAGGACCCTGGCACAAAAAATTCCCTGATCACAGGGATTTACCTCGCAGAGGAGGGGAAATCGACACCCCGGGGCACCCGGGATATATAACCACGCGTGGCACAACTCCTTGGGCAGATGCCCACGCGCCTTCCCCCGGCCCGCCACACTCACCTGCAGAAAGCAGTGTCCCACCGGGGTATGCTCCGCGAGGGTCGCGTTGTACACCTGTCTCGGGAACACCGGCTCGTGGTCATTGACGTCGGCCACGGTGATGCGCACGCGGCAGGTGGCGGAGAGTGGGGGGCGTCCGAGGTCCTGGGCCACCACCCTCAGCTCCACCTCCTCCTGGGCCTCGCGGTCCAGAGCCCGGACGGTGCTGATCGCGCCGCTCTCGGGATGGATGGCGAAGGCGGGTCTACACTCGGCCGCGGGGGGCGGCACCTCGGGTTCGCAGCCGGCCTGGAGCTGGACGAGCGCGTAGCGCAGCCGGGCGTGATCGGTGCCCGGCTCGTCGGCATCCGAGGCACTGACCCACAGCACTGCGGTGCCAGGGGCGGCGGCCTCGGACACCGAGGCCCGGTAAAGCTCCTGGCTGAAGACGGGCGGCTGGTCGTTGAGGTCAGTGACGCGGAGCAGCAGGGTCTCCTCTGTGCTCAGGGGTGGGGACCCCGCATCCGTCGCCACCAGTCGCAACTCGTACAGATCCCGGCTCTCCCTGTCCAGGGGCCCCTCAACGCAGAGGAAAAAGACTCCTGGGGCCCCCCCGGGGCGCAGCGCAAAGGCACCCTCCCCGCCCTCCAGGGACAGCGAGATGCCCCCGCCCCCGAGGCCCAGATCCCTGGACGCCTCCTCTTCCCTCTGGGGGTCGCCATCCGCGTCGGACACCGACACGCGAGCCACGTAGTCACCAGGTCGGGCTCCCTCGGAGACGCAGGCCGCGGCTCCCTCGGTGAAAAAGAGCAGGTGGATGGCCGGCCGGTTGTCATTCACGTCCAGCACGGTGATGGACACGCGCGCCGTGGCGACCTCGGGCTCGGCGCCCCCGTCGCGGGCCTCGATCACTAGCTGGTGCCAGGCCTGCGCCTCGCGATCCAGAGGCCTCCGCACCCGCACGGCGCCGCTCAGCTCGTCCACGGTGAAGTAGGCGTCGCCGTCCGGTGAGCGGGGCCCGGGGCGGGCGCGGAGGCGGTAGCGCACGAGCCCGTTGGGCCCCAGGTCGCGATCGGTGGCGCGCACGCGACACACCTCGGCGCCCGGCGGGGCGTCCTCGCGCACCGCGGCGCGGTACTCGTCCTGCTGGAAGACCGGCGCGTTGTCGTTCTCGTCCAGCACGCGCACTTCCACGCGCAGGCGGCCGCGGCGCCGCGGGCTGCCGCCGTCCCACGCCTCGATCTGCAGCTCGTGCGCCGCCGCCGTCTCTCGGTCCAGACGCCGCAGGAGCACCAAGTCCAGAGGTTCCAGGGGCGGCGACGACGCCGACGCGGGGGGTGGCGGCCCTGGAGCCCCGTACCGCAGCTGGAAGAACGGCCCCTCGGGGTCCCCGGGGGGCTCCGAGGGCTGCACCAAGCTGTAGCCCTGCGTGCCAAACAGCCCGGCGTCCGGGTCGTGCGCACCTGGCAGGCGGAAGGCGGTGCCCGGCGGGCTGAGCTCGGAGACGTCGAGCTGCAGGGAGTCGCGCGGAAAGCGGGGCGAATGGTCGTTCACGTCGTTGACTCGGATCTCCACCTGCACCACGGCGCCCAGCAGCGTGGCGGCCACGAAGCGGTAGCGATCGCGCCGCTCGCGGTCCAGACGCCGCGCCGTGCGGATGATGCCGGTGTCCGGGTGCACGTGGAAGTCGTCTAGCAGCGGGGAGTCCTCCGAGTCCTCGGACAGCAGGAAGCCGACTGCCCCCTGCGGCTGCGCGGCCTCCAGCGCCGCGCGGAGGTCACCCACCAGCGTGTCCGCAGGCAAGCCCTCGTCCACCGAAAGGCTCAGGTTGAAGACCTGGGCGGAGGAGCCCGAGGACGCCCACAGCCACGCGTGCACGCAGAGCCCGAGCAGGGCGCGCCGCGCCCCGGGGCCGCCGCC